TTTTTTTTGGGGGGGGGGGTTGTTTTAGTAAAAGTTTTACGGCACATGAAAAGCAATAAGGTCATAAAAGAGCCGAATGTTAGAGTTGTTACAAGAGAGTAACAAACACAAAAAGGTGTGTTTTTTTAGCAGTTAGTGAGAGATTTTCGACACTTTCAACACAGAACATAGTTACGTCTTATACGTGCCAAAGATTAGAGGTGTTATTTTTTAAAGTAAGCGTTTTACGACACTTGCAACACAATAAGGTCATATAGATCTAAATTTTAATGCCGAAGATAAAATGAGTTACAAATATAAAAAGAAGGAGGAGAGATCAGAACGATAGGTGTTTGATAGGTAAAAAGGAGCAAACCACACAAGAACACCCACAAACCACCCAGAACACAGCTCTAACACTGCTTTAGTTTAGTAAGAGTTTTAATAGGCTTGCAACTCTCTGACACTGTAGTGAACACAAGAGAGTATAAAACTAGTGTATATGCGTATGCACACAGGTACACACTGCCCCCCTCCGCCAAACACAAACACAGTCCCACACGCATACAAACGCCAGCACACACATACACACACCCAAACACATACACACAGCTCCACCACCACACACACAGTCCCACACACACATCCCCATATCCCCACATCCCTAAATATATACACATAGCCCCAGAAATATACAAACATGCCCGATCATGATTTTCCCTTTTCCCAAACAAACGCACCGGATATCAAAACCAAAAGAACTACTGATTAATTATAAAAGCTTACAGGATGCGGCTCTAACTTCAGGCAAAGTACTGTTAACGCACCCCCACACACACGCACGCACACACGCATACACACACACACACACACACACACACACAAACACACACACACAAGGACACACTTCTTTTTCTCAGTTCTCGAGACTCATTAATTGAACAAAGATCTTACACTATTTCCAGTACAAATTTAAAGTAAAAGAAGGAATAAAACACCATTCATAGAAAGCAAACGGAGCGGTACAAGTTACCTAATGAGGCCACCCAAACAGGCCGTGCCAGCCCGGGGAGCTGCAGCTGAACACCGTTGTACACTTCAAGCTCTTTGGACTGGCTAATCTTAATCCCGTGGGTCACAATAAACAAAAAAAGAAAACAAACAATACACATTATCACACGCGTATGACGTCATCCAACTGTCCTTCAAGAAACACCACAGAGACACTGCCTAAACCCCCACACGGGCGGTTAACAACTCGCCTCATGTCAGAAATAAGCCATAAAGCTCTGCCGGCGAGCACACAGGTCGTAAATCCCGACCGCAGATGCAGTGGAGAAAATAAATTTTATGGGTACAGCAATTACTCTGTGGCGCAACCAATAAGCATCCTCAATGTACCGACTAACTGGTCGATCAATCGATCGCCCAATCAATGTTTCAATCAATCAAGCAGCCGCGGAGGTCTATGAGAGCAGAGAACACGACACTCCAACCATTGATTACCCCCGGTGAACGCACTATAGTGAGCCCGTTACTCGCCCCGTTCGGAGCGCACGCGCTTGTCAGTGAGCAGTATTGCTCCGTGTGAGCTGTCACGGCGCGGGCGACTGATGAGGTCTACCCCGGGTACTACAAGTCCTCACGCCCGACGGGGGGACCACGGTTGTAGCAGTAAGCCTTTAATAAAGCCTATCATCGCCGTTTGCACAAACCGCTGTGAACTTTATGCACACATTTGTAGGAACAATAGGGATTTCCCGATTTGTTCGGTACAGTTTACACCTCTATTATGGTCGAGTCATTTCGGGAATTCCCCAATCACCCCTTGCTTGTCCTTGTAAGACAAAGGCTTTTGCGATCTTTCTTTCACTCCCTACAGCATTAGTTAACACTACAATAACAATTGGTGCTGTTGTATGCTTAATCATTTTATTTTACTTTGTCAAACGGTTAACCGCAATAGATACCAACGGAACAGTACCATTGGATGGATTGGATCAACACTAACTCTTGGAATTGATTCTAATCAAAACAACATTATAGGGACAAAGGCATTATTCTAATTCACTGTTTTCCCCCTGTTCACAGTATAGAGAGCTTGAGTAAAGAGAAGAATATCCACACAATAAAGGCCACTTGGTGCATACAAAAGTAAGACCAACAGACAGAAAAAACATAGAAAGAAAAAAAATATAGGGCTTAACAGAGCCGCAATCCAAACACAAAAACGGTAAACCTTTCCCAAAAGAACCAGTTACTAAAGTTTAAGACCCCCTCCCCTTCTTCCATGCAACGTCTCACCAAGCTCACAACAACAACAACAACAACAAAACGGCAGCAACAACAACAACAACAACAACAACAACAACAACAACAACAACAACAACAACGAAGCACACTCCTCTTTTTATTCCCCCAAAAGCAAAACAAAACTACCCCCGTCTCTCCCAACACAAAGCAGTAAACCGAGATACATTAAAAAGAAATAGATACCTTTTATACGTTAACGAATAAAACAAACGTATAAAAAGTAAATGCAAAGAAAAGAACCCCCATCCCC